TCGGGCCAGATTTCGTGGTGAAAATCTGAGCCAGATTGCACCGAAGGTCACACGAATCCTCACGAACGCACTAGACGCCGGTCCCACGCCACCCAAAGTAATGTCACAACGTAACGGGACCGACCAAGTTTGGGCGACTGGTGCATAATTCTGCCTTCCCGCTTCTAGTTGTTGGTCCGTCAAACCTTAACCCCGCCGGAAGCCCTGGGGAGTCGTATCCCGAGCTGCGGGCTCGCTTCCTGACGCTCCCCTCCCTCCTCACCCAGCCACGCTACCAACGAAGAAGCCATCCCTCAGTTCTTTGTCCTCAAGATCCCCCTGGCATATATCATGGCTTCTCTGTACACACCCTGCTCTCAGCTCCCCGTTCCCCCCCCAGCTTCACCGAATCCTCCCCCACCTCTGCTCGCGTAGCTTCCTCAGGCTCACTCTCGACCATGTCCTCCGTACCACAATACCTTCAAGAACGTATGTTGCGACTCTTGATCTTCTTGCTTGCGTCTCATCGTCTTCATCGCAGGTCTGCAACAGGTCTTTCACGACGCTGTTAAGAATAAAGAAGACTTCATCCCCTATCGCGACCTTGCTCACCTGAGTATGTCTACGCCTCTCCCCCCTATCATTCCCCGTTTTATCATGCTCGTTTCGTTCCCAGTTCGCAGCAAGGTGCTGAGAAGTTCGGTCTCGCGCGCATCTCCGTTCCGAAAAGCCATCCGAGTTGCCGTGGCCGAAGAGGTAAGCACAGCCGTCAACCAAAGTGTTCGCGCTCTCATCGTAGTTTGAATAGATGTTCTTAGGACGTCTAGTCTTGAACCGCCAATACGCTTCCCCGCGTCTCTATGTGACCCCTGCTGGGGCTTTATTGTACGTATACACTACCTTCAGCGTCATCTGCTACTTCTAACTCGCTGCGCACGAAGCTTCGCCACCTTCCGCCCCTTTGTTCCGTATGGTCCTGGCCATGTCTTCCCACAGAGAACTAATGGCATATTTCGCCAAACGGTAAGCACTCCAACTAGTCCCTCGACCCTCACGCTAACGGCAAGCAGGCCATTGACGAGTACGTCGCGCTCGCGGCCATCGTTAAGTCTATTATGGAGCTACTGGGTACCTCCAACGTCGCTGGTGCCGACATGATTACGGTGAAGCGTTTGCCTGAGACGGTAAGCAGTATCATGTAATCACATACACTCGTCCTCACCATCCCGCATACACGGCAGATTCGTTCTTACTTGGAGTCCCAGAGGGAACTGCGTGCCGACGTACGTAGATCACACCTTATCTTATCTCTAGCTGCCTTAGCTCAACCCCATCCATAGAACGCGAGCCTCGTCACTCGCCTCAATGTTCTCAACCATGAAGTAGACGAGCTTCACGTGCAACTCAATGAAATGACCGCCACGGACGGCGATACCTCCGCTGACGACGACCACCGCCCCGCGGTGGAGCGCGAGGCCAGCGTCATCAGCCTCACCGATAGCGTCATCAGCCTTACCGATAGCGACGTGAGCCTCACGCACTCGGCAGGCGACACTCCCATCGACAGGGAAAGTCCAATGGAACTGGAAGACGGCGTCTCCGACTACGAGGGAAGCCTTGCGTACCCGGAAAGCGACAACGCCGACGACAAGGAGGTAGGAGACGGTCGTTCCGTGAAAAGGGGCTATGCCGTCGAGTACGACGCCGACTACGACGGCTCCGTGGACGGCCAGGAGAGCGTCATGGCGTACGAAGGCTCCGCGGAGGGGCGGAAGGCCCGCCGTCGTGCCTCCGCGAAGATTGGCTACGCCGTCGAGTACGACACCGACTACGACGGCTCCGTGGACGACCAGGAGAGCGTCGTCACGTACGAAGGCTCCGCGGAGGGCCGGAGGGCCGGCCGTCGCGCCTCGAAGATTGGCTACGCTGTCGAGTACGACACCGACCACGATAGCTCCGTGGACGACCAGGACAGCGTGTTCGAGTACGGCAGCACCGTGGATGGCCGGGGCACCCCTATCGACTACGAGCGCTCTGCGGAGGAGTTCAATCGTCTCTACGAAGGGATGGATTTGTAGTTATGCTGGCTATCACATGTTGTAATTGTACAGTACGGGTTTCTCCGCGTAATTCAACCTAATGTCTGGTACTTCGCCTTTTCATCCCCTACGATTCGCTTGCAACGCTTGAGTTTCGGCCATAGCAATATCACGTGCATGCACGCTTTCCGCGTCCCCGGGCCGCTGCGTTAGCCAATCATGGTCGCTGCAGGGCTCGTGCGGCGAGGTCGCGTCCGCCCCGAGTCCACGCCACTCTAAGTGTTTGTCTTTCTCCTCCACTGCGACTGTTGCCTTCACTCTCTACGATGTCAAGTTTCCCTATCTCTGCCTACGTCGAGCTCCACAAGTTGCAAGGCGGACATAGCGACACCATCAACTGCGTCGCTTTCTCACCCAATGGTGCATATCTGGCAAGTGGCGGGGACGATTACGCTCTTGTCATCTGGAATGTCTCGCAAGGGCGTCAGCTCTACCGCACTCTATTTAGAAGCAGCGTGGACTATATCATATGGCATCCTACCCTTCCTGACACCGTCATCATCGGCTGCTCCAACGGGACTTTGCAGCAATTCCACGAATTTTCTCTGGTAAGTAAAGCTCGGCTGGTTGTTTTGCGTCCTTATTAACCACCATCAGAATAACAGCGAGCAGCACGATATCAACCTCGGTGCAAGGAGTACCATTCATTACCTCGATTACGATGCGAACTCGGGAAGGCTAGCGGTCAGTATGGGCGAAGAGGTGCATGTGACGAGGGAGAAGAGACCCAGTGAGGTTCATCTACACTGGATGTGCGCCTGCGCTGACCAAACGACGTCTAGATTACTACGTTGGCGACGTTGTCCTGCCTTCTCCTCCAGCGCCTGAGGGTATGGAAGATGAAGATCCGCGGTTGCGTGCTATCGCCTTGCGATTCCACGATGACGGCGCGGCTCTGGTGGTCTCTTACCTCGCTCACGGAATAAGGTAAAGTGCTCGGTATAGTATTCCATTGGTGTTGGCCTAACGAGCACATGCAGCTGCTGGGATACGGAAACTCAGCAATCTCGATGGCACATACCGATGCCGGACGTCAGACCGAACATGCAGGTAATTCGAGCTCTATGCGGAATTTCTCCTGACGCGTATCTGCTCAGCGGAGGCGCCGCAATCAGCCCTCACCACCGATACATCACGGTGTACAACGTCAAGGACGGCCTCGATCTTTACGCCCTTGGTCCGCAGAAAAAGGCGAAAGCGAAGAGGTCTTACAAGTTCGACAAACCGCCACGCTCGAAGCACTTGCTGCAAGTCAAGTACGTTCACAGGGGGCACGGTATCATTTCCGGGTCGACGTCCGGTCAGGTCTCTATCTGGGAGACTACGACTGGTGAGGTATGCCAAAAACTCGAGCACGGCGGTGAGCGGCGGACTTGTATCAGACCCATACTGTTCTCACGTCCCTTCTGCATTTTGGCAGAGGATGTCATCCAAGCCGTGGATGTACGTGCCGCGTCCACATTGTTTAATCAAAGCTGAAGTCAATATCCACCATGATGCAGGCCACGATCCAAGACAAACTCAGTTACGTTGCTACGGGTACTGCCGCTTGCGGTCAAAACACGTACATCAAGATCTGGAGGGCCAGGATAAGTATGTATCCACCCGAAGACGTCCACATCTATATTAATTCGTTCTCATTGAAGCGCAAGAGAGAGGCAGCGGCGAATTAAGCGAGTCCGTTGCGGACCTCGTGCAGTCTGTCGTACGCAGTGTCGTTCGCTATCCGTATATTTATTAATCACTTTGCAGCCGCGCAAGACCCTGCTCGACATCCTCGCCATATTCCTCACCGTGATGGTTTGTTTGGGGGCTGTCTGGGCTTGCTTCCATACCCCCTGGTCCACGGTGTTGGACGCGACTGTGGCAAATGTGCGTGTCAGTCTCCTGTACTTTTTAGTGAAGTTGACTTACGTGCACGGATAATAGCTGCGCTATGCTGGTGCGTTTTCTTTGCGCGCCGCGGAGACCGTCGGCTCGACGTGTTACGAGTGGGCGTTCGTGGTCGCCGAATACCTCTACGCAACTTTGGTATGCCTCAAGGACCTCATTCGTCACTGGTTGCGCATGCTCCTTCTTTCCCTGCTGCCTGAGGTGGTCGCCGGCGATGGACACAACGTCCCAGGACCCGCCCATCCTGATCTGTAAGGGCGAGGGGCTGCACGGACATACTCGTCGTCTTCGTATTCCTCCTACACTCCATATGTATCTACTGCGTGCTCGCTGCCATGACCGGCTCGATATCTATCAGAACTCGGACCATGTTTGCTGCTCTGACAGGCGCTGCTGCGGCCGGCCGCGCCGCATCACACTCGGCGTTGCTTTCCAGGGTCTCGCGATCTTAACCTCGTGCTTTCGGGTGTGGTGTGCCACGGGAGTTTCCTGAAAGGACAGCCCTTCCATTGTCTTCGACGTGTAAGGGGGCGAGAAGTGCATGAATGGTTCCTGATCGGCTTCGGAGCCTCGTGTGTTCAGGCGGGCTGTGAATGTTGGGAATTTCCCGGAAGAGAAGGCCTGCGGCTGTTTTAATGTGGTAACGGGGCGACTGGTGACGTCATACGAGCGGTGCCACCGGGGCCTCGCGTTGGCTGCGCGCCCAGCGCTATGGATACGACTACGACCTGCGATTCGGAGTGGCACTTGTACTCCGGCATGGTTTGTCTCTCTTCACATACTCACTTGGTTTGTCTTCGTCCTCAGGCTCGGCCAGCCTCAAGCCTCATGTTTGGGTGGCTGGAATGTATAACCCCCGCTGTTCCTTCGCTGCCCTCTCTTCCCTAGCTCTCCTTCCTCTCCCACATTCCAAATTCTCCAAGTGGTATCGTTCTCGACATGTCCAACCACAACAATCATACAGATGGTGCCAGTCCACTTCTCAGTACGTGCAAAGGAGTATCGGCAGAGTCTTGAGTTTAATGTTCTTTCATAGATGCACTGATCAATCGCGACCCCTTCCTGACCTCTGCGAACCCATCCACGACGCCTGCGGGCAGACCGCCAGGTAAATCCATGAGAAAATTCTATACTTACTGCTAGCTCACTGCCTTGAACCCAGGCGCTCAGCAGCGAAACTCGAACGCCCGCCAGCCACGGCAGAATGCTGCAGGGCGGGGAAATGGTAAAGTCGCTCTCTTTATTTGTATTTGCATTGGCCTGATTATCCCGTCGCGTTGTGTGTCTAGCAGCGCAACAGAGTATGGCTGTCTTTGGCCAAGTGCAAACCTTCACTGCTCCCGCCAGGTCAGTTTGTGCACTATCTGCGCTGGAAGTAACGTCAAACCCCGTCTCGTAGCATCCTCGCTGCCAGCAAGAGAGGCGCACCCCAGCTTGATCCCAACGATGACGACGTGATGCAGGGAAAGGATATCCCTACCGTATTCAAGCGTCCTCGGCGCCGGCGCAAAGAGGATCCCTTTCAAGCTCCAGCTGCGTCCGGGACGGCACAATTCACCCCAATTCCTCCGAAGGTCTTCGTTTTCAACCCGCAGGATCTGTACCCCAACGCCGTGCCCAATCGTGCGGGACTGCTTCAGGGACCCGGCACTATCGACAACCACGGGCAAGGCGAGTACTACGCTTCCCCGGCTGCGGGTTCTAGCCACCACGGAGCCGGCCCGTCCTTCGCTCCATCCACCGCTGAAGAGAACATCGTCGTCGACGAAGATGATGAAGATCAGAACGATATGGATTAGAACATCTTCAGCGACAACGAAGATGGGGTCCCCAGCGCGACGCAGAAAGGCAAGGGTCGCGCGACTCATCCTCCAAGCCACCAGTCGACGCCGCGCCCCTCGCAAACCGCCGTAGGTCTGAACCCGGTGGTACCGTTCTCCTATCTGACGACCTCTTAGCAGACGTTCGCAACTCAAACTCAAGTGTCTCACATGCAGAACGACCTCCATGAGATGAATCATAACATCTCGCGACTCGTCGCCATCATGGACCAACAGACCAAGTTCTTCTCCACGTTGCAGAATAAAGGCTTCTTTGAGCGTACGGATGCCTCCGGCGGCGGCGCCCCTCCGACCAATCCCCCGCCGCCGACGAATGGACATGCTCCGATGGACACGGATCCTCCCGACTTCGTCCCAATCCCCCGTCGCCAGCGTCGAGGACGCGCCCAAGAGCCGAAGCTCAAAGGGCTGCCAACGCAGCGCGACCCCGATGATGTCCTCCTAGCTGTAAGATGATCTTTTGCTTTTTAGCTGTGTACTGCTGACGCGTTTGACCGCCGCAGGACAAGATTCGCGCTCTGACTCGGAAGCTCATGAAGCGAAAGAGCGCGAAGGATGCGCTTACAGAAGCGATGTTACCGGAGGACGAAGTTGTGCTCGACTACGATCCTCACGACGGCCCCTGTTGCACTGTCCAGACGTTCCTCCCTGACCTCAACTCGCCACCACACTCTTCCTGGAACACATCCGTCATCGAAGTGTTCGTGGAACACTTCATGCAGCTTCATCCTCGTGCGCCGCAAGATCGAGTAGAAGAACTGTTCAGCGGCCATCTCAAGTACCTGTGCACCAGGTGGCAAAACACGACGATGGATCCGAAGAAGGTTAAGAGCAGACAGAGCCTCCTCAACAGGGCAGAGCGTCAGCGCAACGTGAGTCCGCCCCTCAGTTGCGATGAACCGCGCTTACTCGGCCGTAGCTCTATTACCGCCGCCTCCAGGTTGCCCACGCCTATGCTCCCCTTCGGCGTCATATCCCCATGCTGATGGCCCTTGGCCCGAAAGGCATGAGCTCTGACGAGTCCGACCACAAGAAAGGATTCGCGCAGTACGGGGTCTTCAAGAAGGAATGGCGAAACCCGCTGATCACCGCATGGCTGCGAGTCTTCGACAGCCTCTACCGCCGTCTTCGCCTGAACGATGTGGACAAGAACAGCCCCGGCTCACAACCTCACAGCCGTTTCTACTCGGTTAAGACGTCCAAACGGCGTCCTCCCGTCAAGGGTCTTCCCAAGAACGCGTACTGCCCAACCTGGCTTGCGGCCCTCCATCCCTATGATCGGAAGCAGCTGCGCGTACAGGAGGTCGACTACGACTTCTCTCACGACCAGACCATGCTCAGGTATGTATCATGCTTCCCCTTTCTCCATGCAGCTGTCTTGACGAGGTGCTACCTGCCAGTTTCGCTAAGGACTACAACGGCAAGCACAACCGCCTCGGTCTCTACTTCTGAGGCCCGCCCTCCGACGTCGACGCCTTCCCCAATATCTTCCTTTGTGATCCCACGCCTGGCTCAAGTTTGATCCGGTTTCTGTTCTCCGTCCACATTCCACCACGCCAACCCCTCGCCCATACCACGCGCTCCTTTGTACTGACCTCATTTCGTCCGGTCGAGTTGTGGCGTCGTTCCTTTATATTCCTCAGCTACTGCCGTCCATCACGATTCTTGATCATAATGTAATTCTAGTATGTGTCCGTTTTTCCGCGTCTGCCGGTATTGGTCTTCGTCGGTCTCCAGCCTCTGCGGGCCAGTCTAGAATATACACTCCTCACGTTTAGTACCACCGTAACGGATCTACGGACCGCTCACCGCACGATGTGATTATCTCAAATCTGGTACGGCAATCTCCTCCCCTGGTCTCTCAGTTCGAGTCAACTCCCTCGCCACGTCTCAACAAAGCTTGTACCCTCCACATCCTCCGCGCAGCCTGTTCTCAATCATCCTTTGACACAACACTGGCTCGCTGACATGTATAAAGCAGTAGGTACGTCCCGGTAAGCTTGCGGCGGTCTTTCTCGATCCTGCATTCCCTCAACAGCCTCGACGCAACCCCGCCCCAGGCCATCATGTTTGAGCCCGACAAGCCTATAACTATATACGCCAAGTACACCCCGTTTCCCGCCTATTTACTCGAAAGCGACGAGGGCAAACCTCTCAAACCATCGTATGTAATTCTACGGCACCGCCATTTAGTTCAGCAGCAGCGGTTGATCCAAGGGTGAGCAATACTCATCCATGATTCTATGTGTTGATTCATTGGTTAATCGGACTTCTAAGGCCACCTACGGACCATGCTGGTGCTAAGCCTACTCGTGGCACCTCGGTGCCTCCTAGGGTGAACATCGTACGCTCTCCAGTCTCTACTCACGGTCACATATTCATGTCATTCAATCAGGCGCCTCAGACTTCCACCGCTTCCTCTCCTCCAACGATATCCGCCGCTCAACAAACACCCGCTGAGGCTTCGGCAGGCCTACTCAACACGAACGCTCAGGACGTCTCCGCAGCTCGCGGCGGCGCGTCATCTTCCCTGCCTCAACCTCAGGTCCCCCCGCCTGTCCCGCCTGTCCCGCATCAGGAGATCTCAGCACATACTTCCGATGGCCAGAGGTACATACTATGTCGCCTCTAACCACTTGATAGTTCTGATAGTTGACTTGCCAGCTCGCGCGACCTGCACGTCTCCCGTCATCAACGTGGCATCCGTAGTAGAGGCGAGAAGACCACCTGGTTTGCATCGACAAGTGGAGAACTCCTTCTCATCCCTCCGGACATTCCCGCCGCGTGCTTCAGCGATCTGTATGTGCACTCGTCACCCAACGGCGTTCAGCAAGTTTGGCTTCGTACCGCAACCGCCCAATGGCTTTCCATTGAGTTATCCCATCCGCATCCCTATCTCAAGGGGTACATTCTCAACTTCTGCGCCAACCGGGAGCCATCGTGGGTGACGAAGGCAACCATGACCACGTACAATGGTCGCGCGAAGAGGCGCGAGAAGCTGCAGGGGAAGGGGCGGTCGCCTGTACCTGGATGCTCGGACGGTGAGTTTCACGGCACCTAGTCTCTGTGGATACCTCGCTCATAGTCCATCCAATAGCGCCTTGATCAGAGAGTTCCTGGACGACTGTACTACGCCGCCGAATACCCGCAGTATCAGTCCTGTACCTCGCATCATGTTGAAGTCTACAGAATGACATTTCTTGTACGCCCTGCCATGCCATTATCCCTCTCCTGAACCAGAATCGCTGGATATGCATCAACCCTTCCTTTGTCTGATGGAGGTTTGATAGCGTTACGAGAGAGATACACATTGTTGTCCCGCCCATCTCAAGTTTAAGGTGGTCGTCGAATCGCTTCCCCTGTAATGGAGACCGAGCAAAAGCCCTGGAGGCGATTCAAGCCGGGCAGAGCCTCGTCCTCCTGTCGAATCGACATTGGAGTTTCCTCGTTCGCTCACACACCCCGCACCCTTTTCTCATCCCTTCGGCGACATCCTTTCCATGCGTCGATCTTCGCTCAGTGACAGCGCCCCCGGGCGCAGGGGCCGGTGTTCAAGCGCAAGCGCAAGCACGCTGGAGCCTCAAGTCCTCGCCGTTCGCCCGGCTCGCGCTCTTCGAGTGCTCGTCTCCGCGGGAGCTGCTGCGCCCGGCCCGCGCAGACGAGGATCCGCGCGCACGACACGCGAAGCCGACAGGGGGCCTGCCACCCGCCTCGCCCATGACCGACGCAGAAGCCGCCCTCGCGCGCACGCTGCACGCGTTCTTCGTGTCGGACCTCCCCCGCAGAATCCCGACGTCTCGCTTTCATCCCAGTGCTCCGCGGGGCCTGTAGACGTCTCCTTTGGGCAGCTGGGCAGCGAGACGGGCACCCATGCGTCTGGTGTCGGTCACACCCAACCTCGTGTTCACAGCGCACTGTGCGTAATCATTCTCCGCCCCACACCCTCGAGCCCTGCGGGCGAGGGAGAGGGCGTTATGAACGGCGGCGGCGGTGGCACGGAGTGCACCCTGCCCGTCCTTCTGCTCACCGCGCACGTCGACTACTTCCGCCAGCCCACGCACAACCTATAGGCGCACATGCACAAGGTCTCGCGATCCATTGACGAGCTCATCCCTGTTACAAAAGCCCCCCTCCGCGCTGCCTGCCGTGGCGAGTTTGCACCCGAAGTACCCGTACTACGTAAGTCGTCGAGACGAGAAAGCCGCTCGCCCCGCGCTACCAGTCATGAACGATCATGCACATTCTCCAGCAACTCAACGGGCTCCGGCAGAACGCGGAGGGTTCGTGCCTCGCCATCGACTGCAGCTGGGATATGCTCCTAAAACAGTTCAGTTACGCGATACCGATAGATACATGCGCACCATACAGGGAACGAGTTAGTTTTGCATGTCTGGTGTCCGCACGGCCGGCTTGATAGCCACGAATGAACAGAACACTTGTAATTCGTTATGCCGGGATTGTGCTCGAGCACACGAGAGGCTTGCAAATACGTCGAAGGAAGAAACATTTTGAATTGGCGCATTCAGTAACTCACGATATACGAGACCTTAGCATTCGACATCCTCCACCCTGCACTGAACCACCTGCCACCTATGTACCTCGAGGTCTGCTGTAGACGGCACCTCCTAGAGACTCAAGCGTTCGAGCAGGCGTTGCTTCTCAGCCTCCTCGAAGTTCAACTCGAGCTCGAGTTCGGCGTTCTGACAACGACGTTAGCGACTAGCGACGTGAAACGGCGGCTTGACATACCTGTGCTTGAAGATGGTTGATATCGTCGCAGAGACTCCTGGTCTACTTCGTTGTGAGGTTAAGGTATTTGTTATCGAGCGGGAAGTACTCACAACACCCGGGAGGTCGTTCGCGTCATCAATGGAGGCATGCTCGGGATGAAACTCAGAGAACGTGCGATGGATCTCGCTGGCGACCTCGAGTAAGATACGAGAATGCTTGCGAAGCTGCCGGAATCCGTCTTCAAAAGAACTTTTAGAATGACATATATGGACTCACCTTCTTGATCGTCATGTATCTCATACGCGGGTGATCGGCATCGTACAGAGGGAATGCTCCTAGCTCCTTGTAGCTGTGATCAAGGCGAATTAACGAAAGAACGTCAGAAATATGGCGGCGGGGAACGTACAAAGAATCACCGGTCAGCGTGATCCAGAGGCGAGTTGGGTATGGCTCTGGGTCAAAGAACAGACGGCGCGCGCGGACCTGTATGGATCATTGAACGGTAGGTACTGCCCGTCACATACCCGGCCAACAGACACGGACCTCTCGTATCACGGCATCCAAGATGTAGCTGCGGTATCTGGGCCCGTACATAGCGCCTTCATTTCGAAATTGTGCGCAGACTGTGAGGTCGTGAGCGATGTGGTGATCGAAACAGATAGCGTAGGACGCACTCTTGCGCTCGACGTCCATATACAGAACAGACTCTTGGTCCTGCTTTGCGACGTCGTGTTTGGGGTATTGTGCGCAATGGGCCTTAAGGGCGGCGGCGTTGTCGAACTCGGGAGTGCGGCTGTCCCTGTCGTGCTGCTCCATGGCGGACCGCGAGGTATCCTGGTCGAGATTGGGGAGTGGCGCGTATGCGACGTCGAGAGGAGGGATGGAGAGAGAACCGATGGCCCGACAGAGTGTTCAAGAGCACGACAGGAATGCTGGGAGTGGCACCTTCCGATTCCTGTTGTGCTGGACACGAGATGCGCGCGAGGCTTCGTTTGTTGCTTTCATCACATCTGCGATCGAGTGCTTCACCCCTTCGGCGGAGAACAGTCGCGCACCGTGTCATGGTGCCCTGGAGACGACATAGACCCCTCTTGTACGGGATAGGCTCGCTGCGAATGGACAACCATTCAGGAAATTCCCGAGTGGCACACAAGAACACGACGTACCCGGATATGAAGACCCAGACGCGCGGCGGGGTTGCAAGAACGGCGATAGCTGACCACGATGCCAACATGAGGGCCGGGCGCGAGGCATGACGAGTCGCCGTGAGTGCCACCCAACAAGACGAGCTGAAGGGGACGCGGGATAGCGAAGCTGGCGGTTGGCCCACCAGGCGCGTTGAGCAGGGGTTCATCAGACAACACGAGAGCGAGTCGGACTGAGGCTTGCCGCGAGCGTGTAGCCCAAGGCCATGCACTTTACGGCGCCAACAGCTGCAAAAGAGAGTGTGCGATCAGCAGCGTCGTGGAGGATTTCACGAGCACGAGACCATGTATCACACCTTGGATCTTGCGTGGAGGGGGTGATGCAGGCCGAAGCTGCGTGTTCACCCTCCGTACAAGTCGGGCCGGGAACGTCTCGACGTATGCGCCGCGGGCCTCTCAGATCCGCGGTCGCGGTGGCACGATCTGTACGCGGTCGCGGTGGCACGATCTGTATTGAGAGGTGATTAATAAACAGTCCTCGATTATGGTTGAGGAGCGTTGACCTGGATGTTGACCTGGGCGGCGACGATTCGGGCCTTTGTGCTAGTCGGGGTATGGGAAGAAAATTGTGGCAAGCGCTCGGGCCAGATTTCGTGGTGAAAAATCTGAGCCAGATTGCACCGAAGGTCACACGAATCCTCACGAACGCACTAGACGCCGGTCCCACGCCACCCAAAGTAATGTCACAACGTAACGGGACCGACCAAGTTTGGGCGACTGGTGCATAATTCTGCCTTCCCGCTTCTAGTTGTTGGTCCGTCAACCTTAACCCCGCCGGAAGCCCTGGGGAGTCGTATCCCGAGCTGCGGGCTCGCTTCCTGACGCTCCCCTCCCTCCTCACCCAGCCACGCTACCAACGAAGAAGCCATCCCTCAGTTCTTTGTCCTCAAGATCCCCCTGGCATATATCATGGCTTCTCTGTACACACCCTGCTCTCAGCTCCCCGTTCCCCCCCAGCTTCACTGAATCCTCCCCCACCTCTGCTCGCGTAGCTTCCTCAGGCTCACTTTCGACCATGCCGCATGTTACCTATCACGCTCGTATGCACCTCTCATGCATTGCCTGCCGTTGGTCGCTGATCACCCTTTCTTTCACTCTGTAGGTCTCCAGCAAGTTCTCGCCTGGTTTTCCCAAGCCGCTGTCTATATTCCTATGCCTCCAGGTTTGGATGAGGTACACGAACAGGCGGTCGACGCCTCACGCTTGCCCTCCGTAGCACCTGAACCTAGTTCCGATGTTGAAATGGCTGATGCGGAAAGTGAAGTACGTGCTCATTGTTCATTAAAACATTTTCAAGTCGCTGATTACTTCCACGCAGTGCGAGTTCATCGCTCTGACGGATAACGACGTAGGCGGCATCGCGTTGAACCGGGCTTCTCGTGCTCCTTCGTTCGGCAACCACGACCCTGTGCCGCCAAACATGTCTGTTGGCGTATTCAATCCAACGGCTGCATCGCGCGTCCACTCGCCCTCCCCGCTATCGCTATCTACCACTACTTCTGGTTTCATCTTGGACGTTCTTGCACTGCGTATTTCTTTGGTTACGGTGAGTTCTGTCCCGCACGGGTCCGAAGATCCAACCGCTTACCGCTTCCAAGCATCTTCCTGCCGGTCACAACCACGCTGACCTGACTATTCCCGAGGAGACACTCCGCGCGCTGCTCGCCAAAGCGCTGGTCTGTAAGTTGGATATCGATTCGTTCTCTAGGCGATCACGCTACTGAGCTATTCTTGCAGGGTTCATAGATCGCGAATGCCTCGAAGATGTCGGGGAGTCTCGCATTGTCCTTGTTGGACGCGAGGCCGGCGAGGTGCGTTCATTGTTAATCATCAGCACACGCCGCTTTTGACAAGACTCTGACAGCCAATGACTCCCGTCTCCCCTGCTATTTTTGTGGATGAGCTTCGCTTCATCGCTCAATACCTTCCCGAAGGCTTCATGACTCAACAGGCCACGGACGATTTCGACGCATACATGTTTCATGCCGGTCAATACTCGGCTAAGTCGTCTGCTTACTTCGTTGTGTTCGCTCTCGTTTTCAACGCCATCCTGTGGGTCACGCGCGCGATGATCTTCCTCGTTGCTTCGCTGTTCCGTGTCATCATCTGAACGACACCCTACTATGTCAAATGTTCCTCTGCTTGCTTTGCTCGATACCAATGTATATTACCCTACCTGTCTAACAAGTCTGTGGATTCGACCCTTACGTACGGATGTGACTGGGGGAGTATAGTAGACCGCGCGGACACCCTTCATTTTTCAGTCAGCATTAAGTATGCTATTGCCGCTTATATGCCAGTTAAGTGCCTGCACGTCGTGGGGAGCTACGCATTGAGCTATATATTCTCCGGGTCTAGTGGATAGAGCTGAGGCATTGACGGTGTAATGACAGTACGGTTTAGAGAGCAAACAAACGAAGAGACAGCAGCAATGACACGATGGTAAGCATGAAAGCAGGGCGATGCAAGCAGTGAAGTAACGTAACGTAGGAAGGGAGAGCAACTGCGACATCGGGAGCAGAGAGAAGGCGAGAAAGGACGAGATCAGGATCTTGGGATATATGCCGAGCGGTTTATTTGCGAGAAAAGCCCTTGAAGAGATTCTGCGCGAGTGAGCTACAGCCGTCGGAATTGCTGAACAGGCTTACCGAGATCCTGCGCTTCGAACGCCAGCCAGTCTTGCTGCGCCGAGACTGAGTGGCCGTTGGCAAAGCCGGAGGCTGGCGAGGCATCGGAATCTCGTCTCCTTCGATTTGAGGGGCCAAGGTAGAGAGATACTTTTCTAAATCACGCACTTGACCCTCTAACCCCTTATGCACCTTGCGCAGTGAATCCACAACGCTTCCCACATCCTTGTACGCGCTGGACAATATCGTAAGCCGAATTCGAAGGGCGTCAAAGTGAGCGCGCTCTTCAAGGCTGGAGCGGAAAGCAATGTCGGTTACGAATATCCCTCTGAGAGATAGACTCAGTTACCGTAGTCAGGAGAGTATTTTGCGAGGATTATACTCACGAGGCTTCCGGGATATCCACGGATGGGGTATTACTCATAGCGATGTACGGAGAAACGAGTGGAAGCGGTCGGTCGTAGGTAGTATTCTTGTGAGGGGCGGGGGGCGGCCGCGCGAGCAAAGGAGCGGAGAGAGCGACGTTGAAGTTGAACGTTGTTGAGCGTTGCTGAGCGTTGATGGGCTGGGTCGGACGTATCCGCCGAACGAGATCTGACACAGAGCGTTGCCGCGCAGCAGTGAAGCGCGCGACACTAATGGCCGCGAGTCTGCCGGCGTACTAGCTTGCAACACCGCTCGCTTCGCATGCAGGAGTCCCACACATATGGGCTACCACCACCAGAATGCTCGCAAAAGCATCCCTCTTCAAAGGTCAGTGGAACTCAAACAGCGCCATCACGGGTCTGACGCAGGACTGGTGTTAGCTCGATTCTCGCTCTACACCGTGGGCGCGGAGGGTTGACACCCGCGCGTATGCGTATGATCAAAATTCTGTAAACTACTCCTGCAACCGCGATCGGTTTGAGCGCATATTAGGTGCGTATTGCTGCATATATGCTATGTTATGGCTTTTGTATAACGGCCCACTCGGCGGCGTGACCGGACGTGGGCACGTTGCGAACCGCGTGGAAGGACTTATATTGAGTGGCACACGGCGAGCATCTTGACCCGCTCTACCTCACCAACCTCGCGCATTCACCATCCACCCGCGCCACTCAGCCCAAGACTCGTCTATCCCAGGGATACCGCGCACCGATGTCCATCATTTCATTGGAAGAGGCGCTCAGCCACCTTCAGGCTCGGGAGGACGGAGTGCGCGAAGACGTCGTAGTATTTGACAAAGACATCGCCAAGTCAGTACCCTTTGTTCCTCCGCGCGACTTCGCGGCTTATTTTCATGTCGTCCTAGGTTGCAAGACACTTATTCGCTCGCCGCTGAGACGCAGCAGTGGGCTCGCGTCTTCGCAACTCGGTTGGCGCGTGTCAACAAAGACTATCGCCAGAAGGTCAAGTACGACTTACAGAGCGCTGGGCACAACCTCAAGCATCTCTACGCGGAAGGGGGTGATGGCGATGGTCCTCACAGGTCCATCTCCATGCAGCTCCTTGTCTCCATGATCATACAAGCCCTTGACTCCAATCGTCGCATGACCGCCCTCCTCGATGAGGTCAGTCATTGTAGTATGCTCACGCGATCATCTTGTAACTAAACTGCGCCCTTACCTTTCAGTGCACCACGATCCAGGACCGTCTCGCGAGCGAAGGTCGACTCGCTCTCGCAGACCGCGTCTTCATGCGCAAGTCGCTCCCGGACCTCGTTCTGTGCAGCGAGCAATTGGCCCTTCAAGGTGATCAAGTCAAGGATTTGTTCAAGATGATGAAGCCGGCTCTTTATGTCATCGCGTACGAGGTAAATAACAAGCAACATTCGCGACCCTTTGCTGATTGGACACTATCTGTAGCGCGATTCGAAGCGCTGCCAGCAGATGCTGAGCGCTCGAAAGCTTACGAGGGACAAAATCGAGCAAGAGGCGCGGCCGCCTTTCGGAGTTCTCTCCGCTCTTTCCCAAGAGCGCTCGTCAATCGTGGAGCAGTCCGTGAAGTTCGCTATCGAGGACGGAGTCGCGTGGTGCAGTCTTCCCACCGAGCAGGTTCCCCTCGAAGAACTCGAGCGGGAGCTCGTGAAATACGACGCCCTCCGCGACCGCATCCGCTCCCAGAAGGTCCCCCACAACGTCGCCCTCGTTCTACTCCGAGTATGTGGCACCACTCGGCGTGGCGTATATTGCTTACTTTGTGCGTTTATAGGAGCTCGAGGCTTCCGCATTGGCCACTCCCCCGACGCTTGCGGGCACAGATGGGCAGGAGGTTCCTGTCGGCCTGTTCAGCAAGGCGTTCGAAGGGTACGAGCGTATCCGCGCCAGCTGCATAGAGATGCTACAGGTCAGCGCCTTGGTCAAGACATGTTATTTTGAAGCTGAACTTGAACAATTGTAGCTCTCTGAGCCGATCGTCGAGACTCTGGAGCAGTACGTTGGTCTCCTCCGCGGAAGCGAGCTACTCGGCAGAGCCTTCTCCGCCTAGGCAAATGAGATTGCAGCGGACGTAAGGATGGGTCGCACTGTATGATGTACTTGTATACTGGTAATCGGGTCAAAACGTGAATACAAATCGTGGTGTTAACGTGATCTCAGCGAGGACTTATTCATTTCGGGCGTCGAGGAGTGAGGCGTCAGTGATTGGCTAGTTCGAGGTATTCCAGGTACCGAGGCGCTAATAGAATAATTCCCGATTTGGCGGTACTTGCCGCCCAACGCGCAGGAGCGCTTGCCTGTTCCTAAGTCTTCCGCTGCGGCCAACACCACCACCGCCGCCACCACCACTCTGTTCTTGCAAAAAAGCAATACTGCTCTCACCCTTCACGTTCACACTCTATGCAGGGCCGTTCATAATGTTCAGAGGGGTTGGATCGGACCCCCTAGGCGCGTAAGTTTTATGGTCTCTATCTTGCCAACTGCCTGACGATAGACGTGTATTTATGTCAAATGCATACTAGGCGGCCATTTCTGGTGAGAGACGGATCCGTAACTCAATGACCAGCTCGTCCGGAGACAAAGACATCCTCGCCGACTTCCGTCCATGTGCGTACCCCATATCTTACGTCGCTCGTGCTGGTCCACAACGTGGTTGTATGCTCTCATGGTCAGTGCATTCGTAGCGCACGTGCACGCGATCGCGAGCTGCTCTGAAGGCATCGTATTCGCAGGTTGCCCGCGTTCGAAGACGCGTCCAGCGCACGCGGTCGGGCCCGTCCCGGCCCTTCATACATCCAATCTCGCGCAACTCCCCTCGACTATCCTATCGACATCACACACGCGCGACGACCTCGGCTAGGTGCGTGCCAGGCGCAAGTCGGCAAACGTCTCGGGCCCCTCGCACATCGATATCGCACCTACATCGCTCAGGAAGCATGCGAAAGACTCACATGCCTCGGCGCATACACCCTGCGCGTCCTAGCGCATTGACACAGATTTTTCATGCGCAAAACCGGGTACCGATACAACATATCGCCCTTCTCGTCGCCGTTCCACACCCTATCGGTACATCCTATGTAGCCGCTTCTTCGGCCACTGGTGCGCGCACAGGCATCGACTTCCGGTCGTTTGGTGGCCGTTCGACCGCTATGTGGTTGAGGCTACGCCCGGACGCCGTGCGGTGAGCCTCTTGTAACACAAGCCTGAGTCCTCTTCATCGGGACGCATGCGCGCGCACAGTGGCGGCGCAATCGGTAAGCGTGAAACTCGCGTCGTCGGTGACGAATTTCCACGGGAGGCAGCAGGCCTCGAGGTGTCCGCACAGTCACGTGTCCCTTTACCAAACCGAGCACACACCACGGGGTGATGTATCTCTTTCCTGCTTCTTGACATCGTACACCTCGGACAACGGTGCGCAGCGAGTCTCATCCCTTGCCTCACCGGCATACACTGACGACATTTGCGTCAGAGCTTGGATCATAACCATGCGCGTCTCGTGGATCCTGGTACTTTCGGCCCTGTTCGCCTTTGTCCTCCCGTTCCTGGTCATATACCTCCCATACGCCCTCTTTTCCATGTACATGCAAGGCCTTCGTACGGCGTCTTCATCCATCCACATCCAAGCGTCGATGGATTCGGTCTTCGAAAGCGCCACCGCGATGTCATGCCTGGTCCTGCCCGTTTCCGCCTTCGCCTTTGTGTGCCCCTCGATTCCGGAGAGCTACCGCGATAGCGCCCTCATGCTTCAGCAGGTCAGCGGCGCACAGCAAACCTTCCTAGACCAGTTGACTCGCTATGCACCTACCCCGGAGATGTTCGCTATCGTCTCTTCCATTCAGCGAGCCGCCCGTTTCGCCTTTGTCTTCGACGGCGCGATTGCTCTCCAATCTGGGCACCCGCAGGGCCCTAAAGGAGATGGAGCGGGTGGGGTGTTATCAGACATACACCATTTGTGCCGCGAGTTACTTGTTTCTTTGCGCGAGGTTGGCCTCCACGTCGAGGTGGCTGTAGCACGGTAAGCACCCGCTTCACATCTACGTCTCTTCTCGCGCTGACGCGCCTATAGCGTTGCATCTATCCAGAGTAGTGTCGTTGCAGGTCTTGTAGTGCTAGACAACGCCCGCGTATACTCGGACCACCGTCTCCGTACAAACCCCCCTCGCTTCGACCGAATCGTCGCCTTCTTCGCCAATGCGAGCTCAGACTCCGCGCAACACGTCCTCCAAGAGGTGCAGCGTGCTATTTCTATCACCTCGAATCTTTCCTCGACCCTCGATCACTTTCGTCGGACCGCCGGGCCAGCGCGGAGCTGTGCGCCCGCGTCGAAGCCGCTTTGCGATACAATTTCCCCACTCTTCTATCGTCACACTCCCCTCTCTTCGGTTTTCGATCGACTCGCGCTGCTGCAAGTAACCCTACAGGAAGAACTCGAAGAGACCTCACCCGAGGTTGCTACGCCTCCAGCCCTCACATTGTATCCCGTCCAAGCTGTACGTGTGATCCTGGAAGCGCAGCTCCGCGTCTACTGCAAGCAGCTGCTCGTTCTACGGCGGACGAGGCGGTTTATGGAGTCAGGCAAGTTTGGAGCTGAACGAGTCCCGCGAGATGGTACGGCGTAGGGTGGTAAGTAGCAGCCCGCTTGACTGGTTTCACCATTTTATATGCTGCGAATGTATGCGACTATGAAGCACAATATGATGTATGATTATGCCAAAGACTCGGAGTGAATATGATAGAGAACACGGTGTTTGACATACGGTCGCGCCCGACGCCCTGGCTAAGTCTTCATTCGGCGGGCGGTGGGGGCGGCCCGGGGTGGAGCGCTGTAAGCGCCTGTCCTATCGCGTGAGGAATCTTCGACTCACTGCCTGGTCTCTCTCTTTCGTACTCATTCTTTACCTCTACCATGGTCAATCCGCGCATCTACGCACGCCCTGCAGACACCTCAATGCGAAGAAGCACACGCCTCACTTAGCTTCTGGGGAGCTGCACGATGTCTTACAGCGAAACGGAAGCAATCGAATAACAGAGCAGACAAAGTAAGTCTGCCTCTCGCCTTGCCGATATCCCCGTTACCACCCCCAGCTAACCACACCCTGCGCCTCGACCTGCGACGCTGTACCATTTGCGTTTGTCGTGA